GTCGCGGCTTTGTCGTTGTCGCTATAGTGTCGTCGCCGCGGCTTTGTCGTTATCGCTGTCGTCGTCGCGGCTTTGTCGCTATATTGTCGTCGTCGCGGTATTGTCGCCGGTTTTGTCGTAGTCGCGGTTTTGTCGCCGGTTTTGTCGCCGGTTTTGTCGTCGCTATAGGTTACTTAAGAGGTAGTTGCTATCGCTGTCGCTAGATATCCGAACTGTATATATACCTAATTAATATAACTAGCACTACGATAACTTCTCGAGCTAAGTATAAGCAATGTCAAATCTATACTAATAGATATACGCTTACTAACCTAGTATACTCGCGACTGTTACGCTCGCCCTAACGATAATGCAAGAAGGCGACGAAGCAATAACTGCCCGCGAAACCGATCCCTTTCCTCGCTAGCCTACTACTATAACGCCGACTAACTTTTAGTTTGTTACTAATGCGAAGTAGACAGGTTGGCTTAATAACATCGCCGGTACTAATATAAGGAGGAAGAAGCTTGCGAGCAACAATATACGGAAATTCGACTAGGCTAGTAGAATTATAGAGACTTATTAGAGGAAAGATACACCGGACCCGTATTACTAGTATACTCGTCGAGGCCTGCTATATAGGGTAGATACTATTAATAGTAAGAGATGTGCTTACTACAAGCGATACGCGAAGTCGGGGTATAATACTAGCGTACCTGTTAGTAGTAGTACTAAGGCATCTCTAATACAGTAGATCTTAGACCTTAAGGACCGATTAGACAGCTTAGGATAAGAAGGTACCTAATATTCGAAAGAGTTAGCTATGTCTCGGAACGTTATTCTAAGACCTATAGCTTCTATATCTTAGAACAATTCAAACTGTCTCCTTTAAACCGTCTCCTTTATACCCCCGTCAAGTCTAACTCCTCTGCTATCGTACTATTAATATTAACAAATATATCTATATCAACATTAATAATGCCTAGCTCCCGTAGCCTATTACCTTCTATACGACCTACTAAGTCAGCCGCGTCGAGTAGACCCGTACTAGCGATTATAGCGTCGTCTACGACGCGTATAATCCGAGCGGCGCGTACGGCGTTACTCGTATTAAGCGCATCGATACGCTGTACTAACCTCGCGATACCGATACTATAGATGTTGTCGGATATAGCGCCCTTGCTCTTGTATCTCGTAGTCAAGCCCTCGGTAACTAGCTTATATACGTAGCTTAGTATATCTACGACTGTCTTCTTGGATATATAGTACGTTGTTCCTTCTAGTGCTAGCGGCCGTAGGGTTTAAGCAATGCGTTTAGTATGCTCGCGATTCAATATAGTCCGCTCGATAGTCTTTTCGATATCGCTCGTAGAGTTAGCAAGGCGAGCAAATACAGTACTATATTCGCTATTATACAGTTCTAGTATTTTATTAGATACGACGAACTTACCTAGTCGTCCAGATAGATTGATAACTAGTATACCGAGGATAGCGCGCCGTAACTCGTAGCTAGTAGCCTTGAGTGTCTATTTGAACTATAGCATTTCTCCTATATAGTTGAACTAGCTACTACTAAGGAATGTCGGGATTAGGTAGTTAACTATACGCTCTAGTTAGCCTACGTCGCCTTTACGAATTGCCGAGCGGATGATTAAGAAGTCCTCGGTATCTCTAAGTATACGATATATTATAGTGAAATCTGGATCCTCGACAACGCCCTCGCTATTTTTGCCTATATAGGCCTTCTTAGTTATTGTCTTCTCGTAGATAGTATAAATACAGTCCAGATACTGCTTAGGGGAGAGCTTTAATACTGCCGCCTAGAGCGCTTCGATAGTAGTCTTGTCGCGATTATCCGGATTGTTAATATCGAACAGTTTACGGTCTATAAGCTCCTACTTAAACATTCTATAGACCCTGCTCTAATATAACCGATATACTAGGCTTTAATAAATAAAGTACTTAGGTTTGTCGTTACTAATTCCTTCGATACCCTAGAACCTAGCGTCGCCTTAATATATATAAGCAAGAGCCTTACCTACGCTATTCTTATTTGTATAAGTCGCTAACCTAGTATATAATCTGTTTATTGCAATATACAGGAAGCCTAGTACTAGTAGATACTAGCTAAAGCGATCGTATAGCTTTGTATTTTCAATACTCTCGGCCTGAACTTAAAGTAGACGAGCTACTGTTATCTGGTCGCTAACAATAAGTTTCAGCCCGTTGTCCTAGTGCTTTAGGTACTTGAATCTTATAAACTTTAGGAATATGTCTTCTAGTACGCCGTATATACCGGATATCGACGACTCGTCGTAAAAAGAGATCTTGCTAGCGTATAACTGTTAATCCTCTGTATCTAGAATGTCGATAGTATGCTATAGTACTCGTATCTTTGTATTAGCGCTACTAATATCGAGGCTATTCTAGTCTGTTAGTCTACTAAAGTCGTATCTAGTATAGATCTTAGTAATCTTAGGAAATATAAGGCTAAGGTTATAGTCGATATAATACATACTATTATACTTACGCGCTGTATCCTCGTTCAAATTGCGGAGGATATTAGTAGTATCGAGCTAAATAGTAAGGTCTAATATATTCTAACGCAGGCCGGTCGCTAGTATCCGCTTGTTCTCGGCTATATACCAAGTTGTTATATTAAGTTGCTAGCTGCTTCTACCGATAGTCTAGATGCCTTTGCGACCTACTTAGCGTATAAGGTTGTCGTATGTATAGTAGATTTATTGGTTTGCGCGGCCGAATGTACTATATACAATCTGTTAGGCGATAGCGTTGTCCTTTATTAGACGCTAGACCGTCCGATATAAAGAAGTAATGCCTAGGTTAGCGAGTACGTCTACAATAGGGCGTAGTACCCTTCCTATTGCAAGGAATAGACTTATTCCCTTCTGAAACTACGACGAGTTGATTAATACAATCGTTAATATAGCGATTTGGGTAATTGCCGCGATATGCTTAGTTATAGTATCTGAAGTTTTCTGTCCCTACGTCTTATACCCCCCTTGTACCTTTTTATACAAGACCTTCTAGTTGTTTAAGACTTTGCGTAGTATTCGATTCTAGGTCGGTGTCTTGGTAATAATTATATCTATTATCTCGTTAATGTTCGCTAGCTATATAGCATTATATAAGTCGTATTCGTTAAAGAACTTCTTACTAATCAGGCCCTTAAGCTTACGGCGTATAGTACGTTAACTAATTAACTAGTCGTACTCGAGACTCTTAACAATGTTTGCAATACGCCGGCGATAAGTAGCCGAACCTAGATCGCTATAATGTTTCTTTATAAAAAACGGGACTGTTATCCTAGTAGCCCTAAGGGCGGTATAGATGTCTTCTATCTTCTCCTCGTCCGAACGTCTCTAGGCGCGTCGACGAGCTAGCGTATTCCGTTTATCTGTCTCCTCGTCTTCGTCTTTATCGCCGTCAAATGTCTCTTCGTAGATAGGATTGTAGTCTAGTGCTTTACTCTATTCCTTATTATCGTTATTACTTAGTTAGAAATCTGTATTATAGTCTTCTTCGACCTCCCCCTTATCGTCGTCTAGCTCTAAGAGTTCAAACGGCGATTCGTAGTCCGGATCAGTCGCTCGGCTCGTATGTCGAGAACTACTAGGTCTAGACTAGAGTAATGCTTAGCTAGCCCTTAGTCGTAGTTAGCGTCCTTACGGCGACTAGCTTGTCTGCCCTCGGAGAGTTCCTTAACTCGAGCGCCGTAATTCGAGGTTATCTAATAGTAGGACTATATTATCTTCGAGGTTATCTAATAGTAGGACTATCTTATCTATCGGTAGAAGGTCGGATAGACTACTAGAGTCGTAGTGCTCTAGATTGCCTGCTTCGATATTATCTGTTAGCGGAAGGTTAGGGAGACTACTAGAAATAGTGCTTATCTCGAATAGGTTGTATATAGAATAAGCAATGTCCTCCTCTTGTTTATCTTACCGTAGTAGCGACGTACCGCTTATATCTTGATCGGCTATATTGCTCGTTGTTAATATAGTATACAGTACTTAGGTATCTGTAGCAAACGGAAAAGACGGCGAAAGTATACGGCGATATTAAAGCCTAAGGTATAGCGGACAACGTCTAAAATAGGTAGGTAGTATAGCTATTTGTTCTAAGATACTGCTTTTGTACGTCTTAGAACAACTTAGTTAGATCGATACTTCCTCTAATTCGAGTTATAATAGTAAGGAGCGGCGCGTTTCGTCTTTAGTTACGTTGTCGATAAATATTCGGTTCGTAACGGAGGTATTATTTAGTATCGCTAGTGTTTGTCTGCTATTGCCGTCGCTATATACGTTAATTGTTCTAAGACGTAATAAACATATATCTTAGAACAATTATACTATTGTTTGTTGTTACTATTGTTTGCTTGCTATTGCCGTCGCTATACGCGTTAATTGTTCTAAGACGTAATAGACGTACCTCTTATAACAATTGTATTTCTCTCTACGCGTTCTCGAACTAACCGATTACCTAACCTTACTATCGCTATACGCGTCAATTGTTCTAAGACGTAGTAGATATATATCTTAGAACAATTACATCTCTCTTTACGCGTCCTTAGACCAATCGACAATCCGAAGATACCCGAAGGCGATTTTACCTTTAGAGGAAGTCGAAAGGCCCAAAACCGAAGAAAGCAGATACGAACGATATAGCAACCTATACAAACGGGGCTAGACGCGCGTATATAGCTACTAGGCCGAAATGCACTTAGCCGCGTAGAGCCTACGAACTGGACACCTGGTCTCTACGAGAGTTAACTATTGCTCGATTTTAGTACTTAAGACCGAGTAGTTACTATATAGTTTAGGAGGCGGCTTCTCGACATTCCCTATATTAACGAACTCGAACGTCTTTAGCTCTTAATCTATAATACTAGCCTATAGGATCTAGAGATATCTCTTGCTAAGCCGATTATCGAAGCAAGCTTGAAATAGTACCTTAATACATTCTATAAAGACAAGAACTTTGTACCTTTACAGCTTTAGATTAATGCCGTCTTTGCGGCTGTCTACGGCTATAAAGACGTCGTAGTCGTAGAGAGGACTAGGGGTAGGAAGAGTCTGATATTCTATACTTTCTCTATATTAACTAGATTAGTTGCTCTCCAAATTATACTACTGAACCGGCTAGAGGAGGAGCAAGCTAGTAATATAAGAAGAGCTCTAAGCTAGCTAGAAAGGGAGTCTTAAGGCCTAGTTAATATCGTTAATATTATAGTAGAGAACCGTAAGCTGGATCTAAGTATTATAGACAAGATTCGCGCTCGTAAGATATAGTATATCTTTATGTCGCTAGAGACCGCCTCTCTGCCTAAAACGAGGGAGATTCTACGCGAGATTGCAGACTATATTGGACTCGTAATTATCGATAAGCTTCATCTTGTCTACAAATAGGGGTCTGATTTTCGTAAGGAGTTCGGCTAGCTATAGGAATTATATAATATCCTTCGGTTTAATACAGTTATAATCGGTGCCTCTACGACTGTTTCCTACGATACGATAGACTTTGTACTATAGAGGGCGGGCTTCAGAGCGGTCGGCGATAAGCGATTTAAGACACAGATCATTCGTAGTAGTATCGATCGTCCTAATATATCGTATATCCTTAAGAAGATCCCCTAAGAACGACTTAGTATACTATAGAATTGTCTGTACTAGCTTCTAAAGTACGTAGTAAACGACGCCGGCGAGGCGACCCCCGAAAAGATCGATAAAGCGCTTTGTTTTATCGATAGTATCGGCTTCGTAGATAGTACTGTTTAGCGCTTCTACTAGTAGCTAGTAAATATTACGAGGGACATCGAGGACCTAACGAAGAAGTATACTATAACTAGTACTAATAGAAGTTATAATATAACTAAGGTTGTTAGCTTCTATACAGCCTACGTCGCTACTATAGACTAAGACCTCCGATACGACGAGTTCAAGACTATAGGCTCGACTATACGAATCCTATAGGGTACGCTAGCGATTGCTACTAGTACTAACTTCCCTAATGTTAAGTTCGTCGTATAGCTAAGGAATGCTATTACGAAAGACATTAACGATATTATACAACGCCTTAGTCGTACCGGTCGCGCTCTAGACTATTAGGCGTATAGCTTGCTATATCTGCTATAGTATATTAACGATAGGATAAGGTATGTACTAGCTAGTTCAAGCTATTAATCTATCCGTCTACGTCCCGGTACCGATCCTACGGAATATCGGCAACCCCGATCTGTTGTTACCTATCGACTAGTGCGTCTATCCGGCCTCTAATACGTAGAGACCCCCGCAGACGACTTTACGGATACTAACATCGGTTACGGTATTAAGATTAGTAATAAGGATAGCGACGAGGACAACGATAATACCGTAGTAGAGGATTATACGGTCGTAGTTGATACGTACGATCTAAACCTAAAGAATCGTAGTTAGACAGAGTTTATAATATCTATACGAGACAAGCTCCCTCCGATTATACGTCGCCTATAGAACTAGTTCTATTATCCGAATCTAGCTATACGGCTATGCTTCTGTATAGTGTTATACGAGTACTATAGGGAAGACCTTAAGATATACCTAGCTAAGGCGATAGTACTCGGTATAGAGAAGTACTATAGCTATTACAATCCTGTATTAGAAGATCTCGCCGAGTAGGACGTCGAAGTACTAGAGCTACCGAAGCTAATAGCGAAACCGAGAGCTAGTAGCAAGGCTACCTTTAGAATAGTACATTTGATTCTATAGTTCGAAGCTAGAGCTAATCGTACTTTTAGAGACCCCCTATAGAACATGCTGTTCGAAGTCCTATTCGATATAATTATTCCTACCGAGTTAGTATTCGAACTCTCGCGTATAATAAACAATATATAGCTATTCCTAGACAACGATGCTAACGCTAAGATCGTCGAAGCGGATATTAAAGAGTACGTACCTAAGTTCTACAAGTAGTATACGTCGAACCCGGACAATATAGACCTAAGTAGCGATATTCTAATATTCCGTATTCGTTCTTAGATAAACGCAATCAACCCGATAATACAACGAGACTATACTTAGTATCGGATAGAAGCTAAGACAAGACTAGTAGATAAGAGATAGGCAAAAGGATAGGCTCGGACTATAGGTCCGGCTAGGCGTACCCTATTAATAGATAATTATCGCTAGAACTAGCAAGACGCTATAGTCGCTTCTACGAAGGCCGGTATATTAGCTTGTCGTATAATATATACTGCCGCCGGTCGGATACAAACGGAGCAATTAGCGGAGCTATATAGTACTTAGTAGCGAGTTCGAGGAAAGGGACGTACTATATTAGTACCGCGAATACCGGATAGACGTTCTTCTGCCGAGCGACTAAGAGCTCGTCGTAGAGGTAGCGGAGATAACGAGTTCTCTAACCCGATATTCGATATACTAGTAGTATTACGAGCTTTGCGTAAGACGGATAAACAGCGCCGTAGCGGCCGTATCTGTACAACGACCTAGCAAAACGAGAACTAGTATAGCCTAGTATATAAGTTCGACGACGAGGGCAACCTAATTATAACTGCTATTAGCGGCAGACAGGTCGATGCCGAAGAAGCCGCTCGTATAGAGAAGCGCGGCCTTAGTTTAAGTCTAGTAGTATTGTCGCCGGGCCTAGCATTACCCTATATAGTAGTAGGTCGAACAGAGGATCTATTCTGTAGTAGTATTACTCTAACCCGTAATAGTAGCCGTATCCTATCGGCTAATACATTCGAAGCGCTACGACGAAGAGATATCCTTAGTCGCTCTCCTATATCTACTACTGCTGCTAGCTCCTCTACTGCTGCTAGCTCCTCTGCTACTGCTAGCTCCTCTACTGCTACTAGCTCCTCTACTGCTACTAGCTCTTCTACTACTACTAGCTCTTCTACTGCTGCTAGTACGTCTGCGACTGTTGGTTCTACCCCTATAGCGCAACCGCGTCGTCGCAATCTAAGGCGGAATATACCTGCCGACTAAGAGATAAGATATATAGTTTCGATAGCTAGTAGCGAATTGTTCTAAGATGTATGCGTAGTAATAGCCGATAACGAATTGTTCTAAGACGTATATGTAGTAATAGGCGGCTTGCTAGTAGCGAATTGTTCTAAGATGTATACGTAGCGATAGCCGATAGCAAATTGTTCTAAGACGTAGGAGCGGTACGTCTTAAAACAAATGTAAATCGCGCCGCGCTTCTACTAAGCCCGAGTCGAACTAATTATTGAACATTATGTCTTCTATACCTATCTACCTATCTACTCCTATTGTTATCTTGTATAACGTATATTGTAGTAGACAACTTCGACAGCGATGTATAGTATACATATAGTCGATTTGGTACGTACGAAGCTATATACTATTCCTCCCTAGTCGACAGCCCTATAAATTGAAAGCTTTACGATGCTACTATACTATATAGAGATATACGTATAGACGTAACGAGTCGAGCTCTATAGGACGAAAAGCCAATAACCCTAATAATAAGAAGATATCTACCTATTCAAGTGTCGTTGCTAAAATCAAGTTATATACCGCTTATAACTTACTTAACGTAAGGTAGACGACAATAGAATGTAGTAGCATCTATCTCTTCTTCCTTACCCTACTCGTTACCTTTTTCTTCCTCTTCTTCTTCTTCTTTATATATATATACAGACACGTATACATATACACACACATACGCGCGCGCGCGTATATACATACATATATATACATACATACATATACCCTCCGCCGCCGCCGACGCCGCCGCCTCCTCCTCCGTACTACTACTACTACCCCTACCCGCGGCGCCGCCGCCGCTACCGCCGCCGCTATAGCAAGACAGCTGTTCGGCCTTCTACCGATAATCGAAGAGTCTTGGTCTGTATATATATACGTCTTAGAAGAATACTGTCTATACGTCTTAGAACAATACTGTTATGTCTTAGAACAATACTATTACGTCTCAGAACAATACTACTATATCTTAGAACAATACCGCTATATCTTAGAACAATAGCTAACAGATTATAGCTATTATATTAAGTATGCTGCGCCGCTATTGCCCGTAGGGCAACGAGAAGTAGCCTATCGCGCTAGGCTAGGCGCAATAGTTAGATATATACATTCCTCTAGCCTACTAGAATAACAAAGCTAATAAGAATAGCGACGAGTTGTTCGACCGCCGCTTCGCGGCCGAAACCAAACTAGCCCTAGAAGCTAGTATAGAAGAGAACCGCTTGTTTTTGCGCAAGCTCTCGCTTACTACTACGGCTGCTAAAGCGGCTACTACTATAGCTACTACTACGGCTACTAAAGCGGCTACTAATACTACTGCTAATACTACTACGGCTACTACTAATACGGCTGCTACTGCTTCCGCCCCTATCTACGTACTCGACGACGACGACGACGACGATTTCGGTAGTAGATTCCTATAAGTTGCTTTTAACGCGAGAATAGCTTAGTTATAATACTTACGCAAGCGTAGTATAAATAATATATACGACGACGACGACGACGACGAAACGACTACTACTGTCGCTACTCTCGCTACTATCGCTTCTATCGCTTCTATCGCTTCTGTCGCTCCTATCGCTACTATCGCTACTATCGCCCTAGCTTCGCCGCCGCTACTACCGCTACTACTACCTCTCTTGCCTGCTATAGTTACTTCTCCTAAGAGGACTGCGCCTTCGCCTAGCCGTCTACTAGGTACGCGCCTAGTGCTTAACAAGGTTTACCGCCCTAGGGCGGTTAATAAGTAGTAGTCGATCTCCGACTATCGGTAGAATTTGGCCGTTGCTTAGGCCGACGCTAGCAAATTTGATAGTATCTATCGATACTCTAGGGTCGCCTAGATCTAGGAGATAGGTATAGCCCGCCCTAGAGGCCCTTATAGTAAGTACGCCCGGCGCGGGCTGAACGATTGTCGGGTATTAGAGCCTAGCTAATAATATAGCTACTGCCGCAACAACTCGATTATAAAGGCAAAGTGTATTTAAATACGACTATATAGAACTGTGTCGCTCTTGTATAAGGTACCTTATACTCGTCTCCTATATAGTCGGTATTGCTGCCTAGCTTAATGTACGCGTACCTTACGAAGGTTCGCCGCCTCGCAACTTCTATACGTCGAAAAGCGACGGCAGTAACGCAAGCTACGACGTACGGTATATAGGCGTATTAGTATA